AAAAATAAATAAATGTTAAAAAAAAAAAAATTTAAAAAAAAGAAGATGCAAAACCAAAAAGGGAAAATACCCATGATTCTAGGAACACCACTTTGAACATTTTCAAGTCCTTTCTTTCAAACATTTGTTAAGAAGCTGCAAATCCTTTCAGAAACAACTTCGTATTTCATGTTTCAGACACACACGCTCGCACGCGACCTTATAGATGAGGACGCCCCGTGTCTGGAGTCCATTTGCCAGGCTGCCCTCTGAGCAGCTGCCTGACAGAGATGAACCTGGAGGGGAGACGGGGGCAGGTCACCCCTGGGGCGTCAGCCAGGCCCTCGCTGGGTCATAATTTCTGTTTTCAGCTTTGTTCGCCTCCACGGCCCAGACAGAGTGCAGCCCCACCTTACAGGGAAGAGGGGCAGCGTGTGTAGAGCAGGACTCGAACTCTGATCTGGCACAAAGCTCGCGCCCATCTGTCACACGGCACCCGCCCCGGGTTCCACGGCCTTCACTGCCATCCCCGCATACAGGGCACTTATGTTATTTCAAGTTGTTACCCCTCCACACAGCCCTGTAGTGTTGAGTTCTGCTTGCGGGTCCTCTGCGTTTCAGATCAGGTCCTTACAGTAGATTTCAGAGGCCACAGCAGGGGCGCCTGTACTGGGCGCAAGTTCTTCCAGTGCTGAGGTGTCTCCTTTGCTTCTCTGAAGTGAACAGCCCCCGGGGGGGGTCAAGCCGGACACCCCCGTCCTTCCCCTGAGGTTCCAGCTGGCGCACTGCTGGAGGCCACAGCACTGTCTGTCTGTCCCCCATGCTGGTCCTCCTGTCTATCCCAGTGCTAAGTCAGCATTCGCTAGCTGCACAGAACCAGTTTTGTCCAGAAATAAGCGGATCGTCTCTGTTCACGGCAAGGAAGACATTTGATCTGCAATGACAGTTTTACTCTGTATAATAACTCCGCAGCTTGGATGTTATCTCCTGAAAGCTTTTCAGATTACACTAACACCCAACAGTGAATATTGGTAGAGCGCTTGGTAGGTCGTTCAGTATCAGAGGTTCTGAGTACTTGGTCACAACCAGTTCCTGGCTCTGCAGTTGCTTTGAGTTTATTTCTTGAGGCATTTTTCAAACCGCTTGTTTGATTTTGATTTTGATTTTGATTTTGATTTCTGCAAACACAGGGCCAGCACCAGACCATTCTCTGCGTGTTGCACTGCATTGTGAACCTGCAGCCCATCCCTGCGGATGTGGAGGAGGCCATCCTTGCCCGCGCCATTAAAGCCTTCACCAAGGTGGGTCACACGCTGCAGGGGGCATAATCCAGAGGTCACTCACCTGCTCTGAAATAAAACTTTCAGCTCTGTTTTTCCTTAATGGAAGTGTGTTTGACATTTCTCAAATGTAGTTGTAGACTTTAGCCAAAATATATTAATTTCCCAACAGTGCTATCAGAAAGAGCTGAACTTTTTGAAGAACGTTGGAACAGAGAGCTTTGATAGAGAAACACTTGGATGTTGAGAAAATACTTCTAAATCACATGCCTGGTAGGAGTCAGAGAGTCTTTTCTGGTGGAGGAGTTCTACCTTGGGCATAAACAAGTAACCGGCCCCTGAGAATCCAGCATCCGCCATTAATGGCCCGGTCCCCTGTCCTGTTAGCAAATTTAAGCAGAAAGTGAAAGAGGGGCACCTGGATGGCTCGGTCGGTTAAGCGACCGACTTCAGCTCAGGCTATGATCTCACGTGAGTTCGAGCCCCGCGTCAGGCTCTGTGCTGACAGCTCAGAGCCTGGAGCCTACTTCAGATTCTGTGTCCCTCTCGGTCTGCCCCTCTCTCGCTCATGCTCTCTCTCTCAAGAATAAACATTAAAAAAAAAACTTTAGGGGCGCCTGGGTGGCTCAGTCGGTTGAGCGTCCGACTTCGGCTCGGGTCATGATCTCACAGTTCGTGGGTTCAAGCCCTGCGTCGGGCTTTGTGCTGACTGCTTGCTCAGAGCCTGGAGCCTGCTTCAGATTCTGTGTCTCCTACTCTCTCTGCCCCTCCCCCATTCACACTTTGTCTCACTCTGTTTCTCAAAAATAAATGTAAAAAAAAAAAACTTTAAAAAAAAAGAAAGTGAAAGAAAAGGTTCCTTCATATATACGCCCTTTTGGCTTACAGCAGTGCTTCCTGGCTGAAGCAAAGCCAGGTCCATGCCAGGGGAAAGGGCACCCCTTACCCTGCAGCCTCTCATAGGCCATGTGGAAACGGCCTTAAACAAAGAGCCCCGCTTTTCAGTGACAGCATCTGTGGTAAATGTTAGTGATGACCCTAGTTATGTTTGTCCGCGTTCACAGCGTCTTCCCCTCCGCTCTCCAAGGTGCTGTCCTTCCTGCAGCTTCCTCGTTACCGGTGGGGTCTTTGTGGCACTGACCGCCCTGGTCTCCTGGTCTCTTGTTGACAGTTTCCAGAGCCAGTGGCTCAGACCCAGGGTGCATGGTCCTTCACATCTGCATTTATGTCTTCATGGACCGTGAGGCCACCTGCCCTTGGGGAGGGCTTAGCTGGATGCTTAGCAAAGTGAACAATTCAAACCACTACTAAGGTTAATGAGAAGTTTTTGCAGGTAGGATAGACAATATGATTTCATTTCTGAATTTAACTGAAAAAAATTATTAGTGTTTGTTTCTCTAAAGGTGGTGGGAATTCTGTACAATTTCTGTTGGCCTTTTAGAGGATCCTAATGAAAAGTTAAACATAGGAGCTGTTCCAAACCCAAGTGTAAAGAGGTTGGGAGATGTTGGGTGTCTCCCCGGGTGCATGGTCTTGTGAGCAGAGGCCCCGACCACTCTTGTCCAGGGCTGGCTCTTTGAGGAGAGCTGTGCAACAGCTGCGGCATATGAGGAAGGTCCTGGTACCCTTTGGCCAGAGCTTTCCAGGCCCGCTGCGGCCCCTCATCAAACACTGGGGTCACCTAAGCCCGGAGTCATCGGCTATGATGCAAAGCCCTTGTGTGCGCGGCCTCCGCCTGGGCCGCTGCGCATCACCCCCACCTCATCGAGGATGGGGATGTGGAGGGCAAGGGGACCCCGTGATTGGGACGCACACGCTGTCCGGAGTCATAGACTTGTTTGTCTCTGAGCCAGTGGTCTTGTGTCCACAGATGTGCTAGCCGGGCACAGCCTTCCTGCACCCCCTCCGGAGGAGGGGTTACTGACTGGGTGGCTCGTTTCTGTAGGTGTGGGTGTGGGTGGAGGTGTCCCGTTCTGTGTCCTACCATCACTCGACCCTGTGTCCCGGTGAACATGGGCAAACAGTCCACGAGCATGGACACGGTACCTCCCCACCAAGGGGTGAGCTGGCTGGCTTCTGGGACAATTTTCTGTGTGGCAGATGAAGCCGCGAGCCTCTGCCGACTCCTCCCGGAAGTGCTAAGGAGGGAGGGAGGGGGGTCAGTCCCGTGTCACGGAGGTCGGCTGTGAGCTGACGCAGCATGGCTGGCAGGTGGAAAACCAGGCTCCCTGTCGGGTGGCTGCGGTGCGGCCGTGCGGCTGTTGTGCTCTTTCCTGTGCCACCAGCGATTAGTGTCAGGTTCACCACTCCGCCCTCGTGGCTGCCCTGCCTCAGGACAGCCTGTGAGTGGACCTGTCCAGGCGCTGGATTGAATCTTTTGTTTTCGTTCATAAGTTTGCCTTTGGCACAGTCAACAGTTCTAATACAGTCTCTCGGTTATAATTAACGTGGGACGTGAGTTGTGTGTGTTTAGTTGAATATAACTGTGTTTGTAAGTCAGGTTTTCTCCACCCCCTTTCTCTTCTCCCAAAACAGGCTGATTAAAATTCTGTTACGGTGTCCTGAATCCATATATTCTTTGTCACCAGGTTAATTTTGACTCTGAAAACGGACCAATAGTTTACGACACCCTAAAGAAAATATTTAAGCACACACTGGAGGAGAAAGGGAAAATGACAAAAGATGGCCCTCAGCCTGACGTTTAGTGACGCTTCCCCACGGCGGACACTCCAGACCCGGAGACCCAGGCGGCGTTCGTGCGTACAGATGAACAGGAAGGGGGTGTGGAGCCGTTTCGGGTCCCAGCACTTTATCCAGACGCTCTTGGTTTGTGCAAAGAACACTCATTTCTGTTGCGAGCGATTATTTATTTTAAAATACCCTTGAGCTACATTTTTGTGTTGAAAAATTGCCATAATGTTGGTGCCACTTTCTTGTATTTATTTAACTGAATTAATATTGTGTTAATATGTTAAGTACATGGTGTTTACATCTTTATTCTTTTTGACGTTTTGGAAAAAGTTGTAATTCTTCTTTCCAAAACAGCTATTTTGTTGATGGAGCTCTTGCTGGAGTTTTTACCAAGTAGGCAATTTTAGCAGTAAAACTTCACTGTGGATCCGTGAGCCTGATCCATGACCTGAGGAAGTCACAAAGTGTCTTCAACTATTTTGTATTTGTTAAGAAGGCGATTGATAACATTTTTAAAGGATTTTTTTAATTTGGAAATTTTTTGTTTTTTCTTTTTATAAATGTGTCAAAGGGTTTCAAAGTATATTATTTTTTGGAGTGATTTAGTTTTGTGTTAAGGGTGGTCATGAGGTGGTTGGATTTTTTTATCGTAGGAAGTAGACTCGGGCCTCCAGATGGCCTTGCTGATCTCTCCGCACATCCAGCCTTACTCTCTCCAAACAGCGTCTTCACAGGAAGTGGTCAGGCAGACCCTGTGCTGACGGTGTGAGGTGTGAGGGCCGCACGGATCAGGCGTCAGGCCCAGGCAGGCACTGTGCTGACGGTGTGAGGGCCACGCAGCCCGTACCTCCCACGTCCGTCCTTCTGCAGACCCCGCTGCCCTAGGGCCCTGTCTTTTGCCACTTTTCACTAGGAAAATTAAGATTCTTAAACTGAAATGTGAGCACGTAGCCTGCATTCACCATATGGGCTTTAGTTAAGTAAGTAAACTATTTGTTGCCTGACTAGTAACTGCCTAACGGGTTCTTTGTGGACCGAGCTGTCATTCAGCAGTTGAGGCTGTAACAAATGTGTGCAGTTATCAGAGGCCAGGCCGCACAGGGTGATCGTTTTTCCCAACAGATGTGATACTAATCAAACCAGTTTCACACTAAAGCTGTCACGCTATTTTAGAGACAGAAACTTGGGGGAAGCGAGACTAACCTTGGATGAGATTCTCCAACTCCTGCGTCTCTGAATCCGGCACTGGCACATCAGAAACGTTTTAGTCATTATGGGTCTTACCGACTCTGGCGGCAGATGCTGAATGCCGTTTCCTCCTACACTGTTTGAATTTTCTTGGGAAACCAGATCCAGTGAATTTTAATGAACTGGGTTGCCTGTTGCTGAGATTTCTCATTTTTAAGTGCCTGATCTGGGAAAGAAGGGGAGAAAAGATTACATTTTATCCAAAGGTACATTATAAAAATATGTTTTTTACCCAAAAAGATGTTTACCCACGTGTCTGTCAGTGTCACATGGACAAGGGCCAGCAGGGTTCGTTCGACAAGTGGCTGTTGGCCTGTGTCTGTGATGATCAGGTTAGAGCACGGATCCCGCGCAGCCACAATGTGACCACGGCCGCACGCCAGCCTGAGGAGGCCGGTGGGACAGGTAAACCAGGCTGTCTCCAGGTTTTGTATTTATTCGAATAAAAGTGCAAACAACAAACCATAAGGCTCGTATGTCTTTAGCTTGGAGCTCTTGAGACCCTGACGATACGGAGGTGCCCTGGGAGGAGATGACCCTGTGGGCTGTGGTCAGCCCAGACTTTGCTGGTTCCAGACGAGCAGGTGGGGGTGGGAGGGGAGCAGGGC